CACTGCTCGGGGGCCTTCCTGTTCTGTTAGCTCGGGGGCCTCCACTGTCGGGGCCTCCCGCTGCGCACGGGGCCTCCACTGGCCTCGGGGGAGGGCCTCACTGCTCGGGGGCCTCCTACTGCTCGGGGCCATCCACTGCTCGGGGGCCTCCACTGCTCGGGGCCTCACGCTCGAAGGGGCCTCCACTGCTCGGAACTCGAGCGCCTGCCACTGCTCGGGGGCCTCCACTGCTCGGGGGCCTCCACTGCTCGGGGGCTCCACTGCTCGGGGGCCTCCACTGCTCGGGGGCCTCCACTGCTCGGGGCCTGCACTGCTCGGGGGCCCACCTGCTCGGGGCCTGCAACTGCTCGGGGGCCTCCACTGCTCGGGGCCCGCACTGCTCGGGGCCCCCACTGCTACGGGGCCTCAGGGGGCCTCCACTGACTTCCGCGGGTTGGGCTGCACTGCTCGGGCCTCCACTGCTCGTGGGGCCTGAACTGCTGAGGGGAGGCCTCCACTGCTCGGCGGCTCTGCTCACTGGCTCGGGGGCCTCACTGCTGGGGGCCTCCACTGCTCGGGGGGCGCGCGCGTGCTGGAGGGGCTCCACTGCTCGGGTGCGTGCCTGACTGGGGGGCCTCCACTGTCTTCGGGGTAAGCGGCGCCTCCACTGCTCGGGGGCTGCCACTGCTCGGCCTGACGGGCCCTCCACTGCTGGGGGGCCCACTGCTCGGGGGCTCCACTGCTCGGCGGGCCTCGGACGGCTACGAGTGCAAAGGGGCGCCTTCCACTGTCGGGAGCTCCACTGCTGGGGGGTTTACCCTCCACTTGTCGTAGGCCTCCAACCGTGCTCCGTCAAAGGGCCTCCCACTGCTCAGGAGCATGGGCCTGCACTGCTCGGAGGGCCTCCACTGCTCGGTACCGGGCCTCGCACTGCTCGGGGCCGCACTGCTCGGGGCCTCCATGCTCGGGGCCTGACTGCGCTGGGGGGTCCTCCATGCTCGGGGACCTCCCACTGCTCGGGGGAGCCTCCACTGCTCGGAAAAGAGGGCCCTTCACTGCTCGGATAAGAATAAGGGGACGAGGAACATGAAGAGAGGACATAGAAACAAACAGACAAAGAGATAACATATATTGAGAGAAGGAGGATTTATGACAAGAGACCCAAAAAGACAAGGTCAGCTCGACTCCTGGGCTAAGAGAGATCAGTCTCACAATAATATTACGAGGAGCAGGACGACAGGTGGCGTGGGAGCCACCATTACGCCCGGCTCGTTTTATTTCTATATATACATTTTGTAGTTGTCCAATTAATTTCTATTTTTTTAGTAGAGATTGGCTCGCTCATTGAGCTCAGCTGGAATGCAGACTCCTGGGGCTCGAGCCGATGCCTGCCTGCCTCAGCCTCCCCTTTCCAGCTAGCTGGGACTCCAGTCTGCGAAACCACGCCCGGACCCATTTTTTGTATATTTTTAATTAATTAATTTCTATTTTTTTTTAAGTGGAGAGGCGGGTCTCGGCTCTTGCTCAGGCTGACTTGAAGCTCCTGGCCTTGAGGCGATCATCCTGCCTCCAGCCTCCCTTCCGAAGAGCTGGGGTACTTACAGGCATGCGCCCACCCACTGAACTCGTTTTTTTCCTCTATATAATGTTTTTTGTTGCCCCAATTAATTTCTATTTTTTTAGTAGAGAGCACGGTCTCGCTCTTGCTCAGGCTTGGACTTCAACTCTGCTGACCTCAAGTGATCCTCCTGTCTTGCAGCCTCACACACCCTTCTCGAGTAGCCTGGGATTAGCAGGGCATGCGCCATCAACACCCGGCTAAGTATTTTTCTATAGACATATTAGTTGCCATTAATGTCTTTCCATATTTATAGTCAGAAGCAGGTTCGCTTTTGCTCACGGCTGGTCTTGAACGTCGCTGGCCTCGAGATCCTCCTGCCTTGGCCATCGAGACGCTCCCCGAGTAGGCTGGGACTTGCAGGCAGAGCGGCCACCAACGCCCGGCCCATTTTCATATAATTATATAGTTATGTAATTTTTTAGTTGTCCAGCTAAGTTTCATTTCTATTTTCAGTGAGACGGGGGTCTCGCTCTTGCTCAGGCCTGGCGCTCAACTCCTGACCTCGAGCGATCCTCCTTGCCTCGGCCTCCCAGAGTGCTGGGAGACAGGGCGAGAGCCTCACACGCCTGGTCTGTTCTGATTATTATTTCTGAATTCGTGGGTACAACTGAGGAAGTGCCTCCTCTCTTTTTTCCTTAAAATTGCACTTCCATCCTCAAGCTTTGCGCTTGAATAAATTTTATACTTTGTCATATTTTCTGATCTTGTCATTTAAGTGGGATAGCCGAGAACACCCACTGCTTCTCGTGGCACGTTCTCGTTTAGTCCCTTTTCTGTTTCTGATCGCACACTGCCTGCAAGTGGTCAGCTTAATTAAGATTATAGGCCTTTGAATGAGAAAGGAATGCACAGCCGGGCGGAGGCGCCTGTTCCATGCCCAAGGCACTCACTGGAGAGGCAGGCGGGAGGGTTGGCGGAGCTCCGAGTCAGGAGTTTGAGGCCGAGGCCAGCCTGAGCAAGAGCGAGACCCCGTCTCTACTCAAAATAGAAAGAAATGAGCTGGACAACTAAAAAATAGACAAAAAAATGAAAAATGAGCCGGGCGTGGTGGCGCATGCCTGGAGACCCAGCTACTCGGGAGGGAGGCTGAGGCAGGAGGATCGCTGGAGGCCAGGAGTTGGAGGCTGCTGGGAACGAGGCTGACACCACGGCACTCTAGCCCAAGGGACAGAGCGAGACAAGAAAGAAAGGGAGAAAGGGAGAAGAGAAAAGAAGAAAGAGAGAAAGAGAAAGGAGGGAAGTAAGAAAGAAAAGAAAAAGAGAAAGAGAGAGGGAAAGAGAGGAAGGAAGGAGAAGGAAGGGAGGAAGGAGGAAGGAGGAAAGGAAAGGAAAGGGAGAAAGGAAGAAAGGAGAGGAAGGCAGGAAGGAAAGAAGGAAGTAGGGAGGAGGAAGGGAGGAAGGAAGGAAGAGTGGAGGGAGGGA